CAGGATTTAAGCAGACTCATCAAGAAACAGAGAGGACCCAAATAAATAAAATCAGATATGAAAGCAGCAAAGTAACTACTGATACCACAGAAATACAAAGGATTGTATGAAAATACTATGAACATCTAAATGCCAACAAACAGGACAACCTGGGAGAAATGGACAAATTCCTGGAAACATACAATCTTCCAAAACTCAATCAGGAGGAATTAGAAACCCTGAATAGGCTGGTAAAAAACTAATGAAATTGAAGCAGTAATCAAACCCCCTCCAGCCCCACAAACAAAAGTCCTGGACCTGATGAATTAACAGGTAAGTTCTACCAAATATTCAAAGAACTAACACCTATCCTCCTCAAACTATTCCAAAAAATTCAAGAGGAAGAAATATTTCCAAGCTTTTTTATGAGGCCAGCATTATCTTAATTCCAAAACCAGATAAAAACACTACAAGGAAAGAAAATTACAGGACAATACTGTGATAAACACAGATGCTAAAATCCTCAACAAAATATTAGCCAATCGGATTCAGCAATACATTAAAAAGATCATACACCATAACCAAGTGGAGATGCAAGGCTAGTACAATATTTACAAGGCAATAAATGTGACACATCACACATACAAAATAAAGGATAAAATCACATGATTATATCAATAAGTACAGAAAAATCATATGACAAAATCCAGCACTGATTTTTGATAAAAACTCTCAGCAAAGTGTGAATAGAGGGAACATATCTCAGAATAATAAAGGCCATATATGACAAACCTACAGCCAACATCACACTCAATGGGCAAAATCTAAAAGCGTTTCCATTAATATTAGGAACAAGACAAGGTTGTCTGCTTTCACCATTCTTATTCAACATAGCACGAGAAGTCCCAGCCACAGTGATCAGACAAGAAGAAATAAAGGCATCTAAATTGGAAATGAGGAAGTAAAACTCTCTTTATTCCCAGATTACATGATATTGTACATAGAAAACCCTAAAGACTCCACCAAAAAACTACCAGATTTAGTAAATAAATTTGGCAAAGTAGCCAGAGCAATCTTGAGATATAAGAACAAGTTTGGGTGGATCACAATACCAGATATCAAACTATGCTACAAAGCCATCGTAATCAAAACAGCCTGGTACTGGCACAAGAACTAGCATATATATCAATGGAACAGAACAGAACACCCCAGAAATCAGCCCATGTCATTACGGTCAATCAATATTTGACAAAGGAGGCAAGAGCATACAATGGCGTAAAGAGAGTCTCTTCAATAAATGGTGTTGGGAAAATTGGACAGGTACATGCAAATAAATGAAACTAAACCACCAACTTACACCGTACACAAGAATAAACTCAAAATGGATAAAAGACTTAAATGTAAGATGTGAAACTATAAAAATCCTAGAAGAAAACATAGGCAGTAAAATCGCAGACATCTCACATAGTTGAGTTTTTGCTGTTACATCTCCTAGGGCAAGAGAAACAAAGGAAAAAATAAATAAATTGGACTACATCAAACTAAAAAGCTTCTGCAGAGCAAAAGAAACCATCATAAAAATGAAAAGGGAACCCACTGTATGATAGAACATATCTGCCAGTGATACATCTGATTAGGGGTTAATTTACAAAATATATAAACAACTCATACAACTCAACAAAAGGAAGACAAAAAATCCAATTAAAAAATGGGCAAAGGCCTGAATAGATACTTCTCCAGAGAGGACATACAAATGGCCAATAGACATATGAAAAAATGCTCAATGTCACTAATCATCAGAGAGATGCAAATTAAAATGACAATGAGGTATCAACTCACATCTGCAAGAATTGCTACCATCAATAAATTAACAAACAAGTGCTGGCAAGGATATGGAGAAAAGGGAACCCTAGTGCACTGCTGGTGGTAATGAAGATTGCTGCAGCCACTGTGGAAAACAGTATGGATTTTCCTCAAAAAACTAAAAATGGAACTGCTGTTTTACCCAGCAATCCCACTTCTGGAAATATATCCTAAATATCTTGAAACACCAATCAGAAAGAATATATGCACCCCTATGTTCATAGTAGCTTTATTTACAATAGCTAAGATCTGGAAACAGTCAAGTGCCCATCAGTAGATGAGTGGATAAAAAAACTTTGGTACATTTACACAATGGAATACTATGCTGCTGTAACGAAAGAGAAGGATCTCTTACCCTTTGTGACAGCATGGATCGACCTGGAGATTATTATGGTAGGAGAAATAAGCCAGTCAGGGAAAGACAACTATCACATGATCTCACTTACAAGTGGAATCTAATAATCAAAATAAACTGTTGAACACAATAGGTCCAGAGACATAGATGCATGGAACTGACTTACAGATCTCAGAGGGAAGGGGTGGGTTGTGGGGAGAGATTAATCAAAGAACTTATATGCATATATGCATAGCCCATGAAGACAGACAATAGGGTGGTGAAGGCCTGAGGTGGGGCAGGGGCTAGACGGAGGGGGGCAAAGGGGGAAAATTGCGGACATCTTTAATACTGTCAGTAAAAATAAATTTTTAAAAAAAGGATACAATTACCTTTAGATAGCAACTGTTATTTGAAAGGTAAAGGTCAGTGGTATGTGGGCAGGCTAAATAGCCATCTCAGATTGTGGATAAAGGAAAATTAAATTTATTTAAGGAAAAGGGGATGGGGAATGAGGGTATCTAAAGGGAAGGGCTACACAGCACTAAGGCAAAGGGTATTAGGTCCATGATGTATACTTAGGATGGTGAAACAAGGAAGGTGCATAGTAGAAGTAACAGGAGAGCATAGGTTGACTTCTTTGGTTCACAGAGAAGTCAGAGAGAGAAGGGGGCCTTGGAGACAGGTTCAGGGGATAAGCTGCTGAGATGAGCTGCTAAGATGAGCTGCTGCTGCCCTGGTTGCAAGTCTAGTGGGGGTGGGGTCCCCTAGGAGGGAAGAATTGGGAAGGAGATGGCACGGGTGTGCTCCCGGGTGCGGAATGCCCTCTGGGTCCTTTGTCCTGAGAGTATTTCTCTCTTTCTTGCAGGTAGAAGTCTTAGAGGAGGTCTCAGGAGAGAGTCTTAATAGACTATTCATCAGCTTTCCAGGTGTGCTCCTGAAGGGTCATGGTCTCCATTGATTAGTTGGTGCCAGGGCAGGGGGGTCAATGTAGCTGGTCCTGAGGCATCCAGGGGCCACTTGTTTAATTTAGCTGCTTCTCTGGGCCTAGAGCTGAAATACAATTGAGGCCTAGATGTTATTTTTAGGGAGGAATAGGTCAAGGGGTCTAAATTGCTTGACCAGAGATAGGATAGGGGAAGATAGATTACCCGGTTTTGCGCCTTGCTAGGCATCCTGGGCGTTCGGCCCTGGTGGGTTTTGGTACCTGGCCCGTAGTCCTTGCTCTGTCTAACATTACTGTCCCCATTTTAAAGGTGAGGTAAGTGCAGCACTTGATTAAGCAGGTTGTCTTAAGTGCCAAGCCATCCATAAAAAACAACCCCCCCCCCC